CACTTGTGCACATCCTTGTGCGCTCACAGACACAGTTTGCTCCCTCTCAGTGCACAAATGACCTCTCGCCATGTATATTTTCGCTCGCGAGTCCCGTTCACACACGCGCTGCCATGTATATGTTCGCTCGCGAGTCCCGTTCACACGCGCGCTGTGGACCCAATCCGCGTGCACGGGTTGTGGCACGCTTCAAACGCCATACATTTTTCTTTGCTGCTTTCCTCTCGCCCAACAAGGATGTTAGCAGTACCTCAGGCAGTTGCTCAAGTTGCCATTAGGGAGCCTTAAGCCTCCTCTCTTTCTGGATCGGCTCTTGGGTCCCCGGAAGAAGGAAAAAATCTAATGCAAGTCAATCTGGCTAAAAGAGCAAATTTCTAATCTGCATTTTGCACCTGAATCGCAAAAATGTTGTACTTAAATTTAAATGAAAAGTAATGATGTGTGTTTCGACCGCACCTGTCAAGCACTTTGAGATTTATCAGCTTGTAAAAATTCATAATTCCTTTGACTACAAATCAGATGTCAGCACAGAATGTCCTTTCTTCCAGCGTAGCTGCTACTTACCACATGGCCAGATTTACGGTCGTTGTCAAAGTTCGCTAAACTTACAGCCATTTTCCTCTGCTTTTTTCCGTATCTGGTTCAGTGACGTATTGTATGCAGAGGCGGAGCTGGCCTAAATGGCGCCCTGTGCGAGATCCCCCGTGACCCCCCCCCCCCCCCCCCCCCCACACACACACACACACAGACACAAACACACACAAGAAAAAAAATTACACCTACAACTTTGTTTCAAATGGCGTGGAGTGTATTATATATAACAACGTTTGCTAACTGAATACAACATCCAGCTCCTGGCTACCTTCTCACCACTTGTCAAAGTTCTACTGAAATAGTGATGATGACAACACCTGCCATCGCCTTCATTCCTGGGAAATATGAAAGTAGTTGGCACCTTAGTAGGTCCTCTTCGAACTAGCTCTGTGCGTATGCTGTCGGTAATTGGTGATGGCCACTTGGCTGGGTCTGAAGAAAGAGGCTCATCATCACCTTCAATGGGACTCATTGGTTGATCGTTCAGGCTTCTCTATTGACAGAAAACAGAAGCATAACTCAACACGTTGCTATGTGGACCATTTCACATATTCTATTAAAACACAATATGTGACATTCAAATTTCTCTAATGTTTGCAGGACACACACACACACACACACACTTGTGCAAAACTTACCTGACGTATCTTGTTGGGGAGACGTGGCAGCTGGCTGTCCCTCATCAAGTTCACATATACTGGTAGGTCTCTCTATTGACAGAAAATGGAAGCATAACTCACCACAATGCTATATGGAACAATTCCCATATTCTGTGAAAATACTATTTAAATGTCTATAGCTAAATGTTTGCTGGACACACACACGTGTGCAAAACCCACCTAAAGTATCTTCCTGGGGAGATGTGGTGCCAGCAGACTGTCCCTCCTCGAGTTCAAATACTGGCCTACTGGTATGAGCAGTGGAGGTAGATGGCTGTTCCTCAGTGGCAGCTGATGTCATCCCAAAATATCTGTGTAGGGCTCCTGATGTTGCATAAAACAAACAATACAATCTTCATGCCACGTCTGTTGCTTCAGCATTTTAATTAACACGTTACAATGAGCATTTACAGTTTTCAGCAGTGGTGGAAAGAATTCTGAAAATCTGTACTCAAGTACAAGTACTGTTACAATGCTAAAATATTACTCATTTACAAGTAAAAGTACTGGTGTTAGAGAAATACTCAAGTAAAAGTACAAATTATTCATAAAAACCTCAGAGTATTATTTATTTTTAACGGCTGATGTCACCATCACTTCTCCAGACTGGGGCTGCCTGGAAATTGTGTGTTTTCCTTTACCAAAAGTTAAAATACCAACAATCTATTAATCATTAATAATTTATAGAATACAAAACAAGTGTTTTTCCCTAATTTTTTTGTCATTTTAAGTTTTTATTTCCTTTTTCAGCAAATGTCTCCGGCACACAAAGAACTAAATGACCAGAGGAGCCACAACTATTGATTAAATATCCATGAATCCATTTTAACTGGTTAAATTCTTCAACTCTCCCACGCTGCTTCAAGGTCACTGTGAGTTAACATAGCCGCGGTGTGCTGTGCAGCACACAACGCAACACGATGACATCATCGACTTGTACAGTGCTGAAAGGCGAGACAGTCTCAACTTTCAGCTAAAAAAAGACCGCTCTAGCTATTATAGTTTTTATTTTATGGCAGTTTACAGTTTAAACGGGATCTTACTAGCAGGGCACCTCCAGCGGCCCGCTGCTGCTCCGTTTTTCATGGGGTAAATAATACGTAGCTCATTTCCCGAGTCCAAAAAGAAAGGCGAATGGCGCCGGCGCAAGACCTGCCGCCCGCCGTCAATGTATTTCAGCAGAATTCTCAAAGACTCATTTTAATTTGATAGCGTTTGGTTATCAGCCTTTCGGTTTTCCCACTCTTAGCTTTTCATAAAAGCTCATTTGACAAAGAAAAAGCTAGCGGTTGGAAGTAGTACTAAATACATGCAACATAAGAAGCTAGCAAAAGACATTTGAAGGCATCATCATAGCACCATGCAAAACGTTCAGATTAGAGAGGTTAGTTAATCAATAAGTTGGGGGACAGGCAGGAAAAATACCAACTAAATAATAAAGAGATGCATACCTGCATCTTTTCCTCGTTTCTCCTCCTCTTCTTTTCTTTTTTTTTCCGAAATTGGGCACCAGATGGCTTCGACCGCTTCTTCACCATTATGTTTGTGAGCGGTGATATGTGAAACGGTACCTGTATCCCTCCATCATCACTCTCCGAGATCCCTCCGCCCCCCACCTGATGAAGGGCGCTATAGAGCGCACTACAGAGGCGCGGCGGACACAAGGGGGCGCAATAAAATCCCAATATAAACGCAAACAATGACTTTGTTGTGCTTTTATTACAGAAATATTATTATTATCATCACTCATCACTATTATTATTATGAAGAACATGTGATTTCTATGTTTTGTTGATGTATCGGTTGATGGAAGAAAAAACAAATAAAAAATAAAAAATAAAAAAAAGAAATTAAATGCCGCCCCCTCCAGACCGCCGCCCTGTTCGGCCGCACATGTTGCACATATCAAGCTCCGCCACTGACTGTATGTATTGCATGACGTAATTTGTAGTCCTGGACATATTTTCACGCGAAACTTTTGCCCCCGTATGAAAATAATTGCTTTCTTGGTATCAAATGCGTCTTTAAAATTCACGGACATCATGTGTGAAATCCACAGCACAAATGGGATTAGAAAAAAATGTTTTTAGACCCAATGACTTGCATTCATTTTTTCGTTCTTCCGGGGCCCATCGCCCGGATGTAGATGGGAGTGGCTTGGGCTCTTAGAAATCGCTCATGCTAGCTAGCATTAGCAGTAGCTCTAGGTAGCGTTGCTCTGCATTTAGCTCATATATTGCCAAAGTAAAAGTGGGTTAGGACATGCTAATTTAAGACAGTGTGTTTAAGCTAATGACCTGTTAAACCAAGTCAGAACTAACAATTTCTCCATGGCCATTAGACCATTATTAATTTGCTTAGAAAAGCAGCTAGAGACTGCACAGGCTTTTTGTTATGCTAAATTTGACACCCCATTATTCGACAAGTCAAATGTGGCCGCAAATTATAGGACTGGTTCGATGAATTAATGGTCCAGTGAATAAATTAATAAGGAAACAGCTTCTTAGCATCTTAATAGCATGAGCGTCCAGATAATTTGAGCTTCTTGTTCCTCCTAGCTTGTCACTAGACTCATTTGACAAAATGTTGGAAACATTTATTTTAAATTCCATTCTGTATGATTGTATCTTATCATTTCAGCACTATTGCTAGATGCATGTTTAATTTATCATTTTTAAACTCACAAAAGGTTCTCCATTGGATTCAGATGACTTGAAGGCAACATGAGTTTAGCTCTTTGGCACAGTTAATTATTGTACTGGAGTTTTGTATGAATAAATAAATTAGGAAAATAACTGGACACACACTGTTGATGACAATTATCAGATTGAAAAATGGAGTCACCACTGCTTGATGGTAAATCTCCCAGACTTGTAATGTATTGAAACTATGATAAATAGAAAATATTTATGATCTTTTAAGAATTTTGCGCAAGACAAGATTACAGTCTGTAACAACCATTACACTTGGTGAACTTTTGTGACTTTTTCCTTCTGTGATCTTCAGCCAATAACGCAAGCTGTAATCTGTTCAATAAATGTAGCAGTGATTAATGAGATGTCCTGCCATATGCAGAGATTAAGTTAATTATCTTTGATATTACCCCAAACAGAATACTAATCAAATAGGATTTTTAAAATGTTGCTTTCATTTAGAGATTCCGCATGTGACTGCCCCCCCCCCCCCCCCCCCCAAAAAAAAAACCCATGAGCAAATCAATAAAAGAGGGTGAGCTTTGTTTTTCCTGGGGGGGGGGGGGGGGGGTTGGTTGCATCATGCATGGACAGCAAAACACACAACTCTGAAGATGAGGTCTGGGGAACAATGACACATCATGTATCATTTTACACATCCCAACACTACTCTAATGCCCCAGACAGCAAAATGATTGAGTAACAACTTACCATTAAACACCTCCCATCCATTGCTACATCTTAATATGATGTGTGTGTGTTGTGTGCAGGCGTCATGTTCATCCCTCAGCACACATTGACTCAACTACATTACCCACCCCCCTCTGAATCCCTTTAAACAAGATGGATCGGATAGCAATGGCATCATCTTCATTGCATTTATCATTATTAATTCTCGATGAAATCCTCTTTAGGTTTCCCTGAAACATGGAAAAAGCAGAACATTTTTACACATGCACTGCTTTTTCCATTACAATAGGCAAAGTTCTGTGTTTAGTTTGGAGCACGTTCAGCACGGTGGAGCAGATTTGTGTTTACACAGTAAAACAAGCAATCCAGATTTTTACCTCATATTTTATTTGACAATATAGCTTTTGCTCTTTAGAGTACAATCAATAAAAGGTATGTATGACAAAATACAATTTAAATATAAGAGAAAGAACATCTCACAGAAGAATGTTTTGACATCATAAGGAGTAGTGTTAGTGTTTTTTTGTTGGACATTTAAGGCACTTAAGAGCTGGACAACTGCAATTTGTGTTTTTCAGGGTGTTCTCTGCCGTTTGGTGATTCAGCAACATCCTGGAGTCATAGAACAAAGCAGGAAGAATGCATTAAAGGTCTCATTCACTCATTTTGTCAACAAATTTGTTGTGATCACTGGTACGAATGGATTATTTGTGAGTCGTTATCTGTAGAGAGTAAAGCTCTGACGCTCCTGTTACGGGGGTAGAAGTTTGTTGGAAGAGTAGAGGGCAGAAAACTGCAAAATTTAGTCATACTCATTAATATTCACGATTTGCAAACATCTACCCTCTGATTGGCTAACAGCAATGCAACTTTCCATCCTCCATTCGCTCTTCTAAAAAATATAAAGTTGATTTGTTATCTCCACAAAAACTTAAGCCCACACATGTGCCTCCATGTCGAATTGCTAATGCCAATTGTTAGCTTTTCCCATCTGAGCTGCTCTGTTCTCTCCTGGCCGCTAATTCAACACAACCTTCTGTGGTTGCAAGTCAAAAGTGGGCAAAACCATGAATGCTAACTTTCCTTGTGATGTTGAAGACACCAGCTTCTTCTGATGGGATCATTTCTCTGTCTATTTTATTTATGTGGCTAATGCAGGCAATAGGTAGCCTAGGATTCTTGATGGACAATAGCATGCTCCACTGGAACCTGCGCAGCCTCAGCTAGTCTGGTGGCGTGCTCTATCGATTTTGTGGGCCTATCACAGTGCTTTGTTGATTTTATTATAGGTTTGGTGGGGGGAGAATGTTACTGCAACTGCGCAAAACTAATGATGGCTAATTTGAAACGACTTTGGCATCAACTTCGGACTATTTAGACTTGAGCTTTTCTTTGAGTCAAGAGCAGATAGAGGTACTTACAACCTTAATTTATAAAAAGAATATATTCTTCTTCGACAGTGTATGGTGGACTGCCCTGTTGACTGGCATCCGTAGTGGTGGGTACGCCACATTATTTGTTGTCCAATAGCATGCAGTGACTGTTTGAAAGACAACCATAAATTCCTCCCCACAACTGAGATCTGTCAATGGATCGTGGCAAGACTATATACTCACATTTAGCATAAAGCTTAGAATGACCAATCTTATTTTAAAAAATAAAAAAGTATTAACGAGTGAATGAGTCCTTTAACACTTTAATAATACCTTGTGTTCCATGTGAATCAGCTAAAAGGCAAAACACTGCAATTATTGTTATCATGCAAGCCAGCCTGGTGCCAGTGCGACTTCTTGACTGGGACCCACATTAGAGGGTTCCATCAACCCCTCTGGAGGTGAGCTGTGGCACTGGCGAGCGAGCGACTTCCAAAGTGTTTGTTATAAAAAAAAATTGTCATTTCTTGTATGTGTTCTCAAGTTTAAAGACCTCCGTTGTTGCGTGTGTGACTGAAAACTGCTGGGATGACATCACAGAAACACATAAACAGCTCCACCACATTCATCAATCCCACGGCAGAGAACGAGCACTTTCTCACTCTTTCCTCTTCTCTCCCTCCGTGGTTCACACTTACATTTGCTCATATGCATAAACAAAGCTTCCACACACAGTCACACCAACACACACACACACACACACACACACACACACACACACACACACACACACACACACACACACACACACACACACACACACACACACACATTTTTTACCTACCGTAAGTATTTACATGAAATTACTCCTCTGAGTTATGTCCACAAGTGTCAAGCTTGTCGTAACAGAAACTTAAGCGCTCTTTGAGGTCACAGGCTAATTACCTCCCTTTACACTTTTGAACTGTTCCTGGAATTCTCTGGAAATTATTACTCATATCGCAAACTATACAGAAACTTGCACAAATAGCATGGCTCAGCAGCCCTACAGCCTAACATTTATCAGCAGAAGCTGTGATTCTAAACAAGTAAAGTATTCCTGTATGAAAAGCTGCGTGCGATGGGTCCTTTTCTCTGTTTATGTGCATCAGATCCTCTTTTCACTTTACTACTGGTGCTTTGAAAGCAGTCTTGATCCAAGCAATGTGATAAATGCACCATAAATGTAGTAGCATTCAAAATTAATCTCAGTTAGGCTGATTTTCCTGAGTCCTGGTTTTCTGGTAGATGAAAGAAGACATTCAGGCTTTTCATTAGCGATTTTAAAGTCCTGCATTTAAATTAAAGGACGCACGTTGATAGAAAAAGATGGTTGGGTTTGACTTGAGCAAGCACTTAAAGACTGATCTGCCACCATTTGAATCTGAAGCAGGCGACGTAACGCGTGTGAATTGAGTGAAAATAAAGCATGTCATGCTGATACAGGTGTTTTCTATGTTCGCTGAAACCAGACCGATGCAGGCAGCAGGGAATTGCTCCTATCAGAAGGCGTATGCCCCGACGATGATGGTGAGCCGCAGCAGTGAGCTGGTGCGGTAGTTCATGGTCAGATGGTGAGTGATCATCTCCAGGTCTATGATAATCTCCCTGGGCCCAGACAGGGGCTTGGTAAGCAGCAGCATGGCACTCACGTTGCTGGAACGCTGCAAGAAAATACAAATTATGCTTTTTTTGATAAAAAATAAAGTAAAATAAAAACACACATTACTTAAAGAATGACATTTAAATGACTATTAATCCTAAAACTGTTATCCCACATTCATTGTCTTTAGTTGAGGAATTCAACCTGATTCTATCCAGAAGTTGATTGTTTTTAATGTTGAAGGTGAGCTATGAGATGTTTTTCTGGAGCATGTTTTACCATGTTGCTTGAAAATGCTCTTCACATACTGATGGCAACCAATAAATTAAATGTTTTGACAAAGAGTGAATAATTTTTAATCACCTCTGAAAAATACAGTCCTGGAAGAACCCTCATCGAATCAATGTGAACGTCCCGTTCTTAATGACTGGATCATGATGTGTCCATCAAACTGCCTTCTGATCATCTCTCCCCCCTCCGCACAAACGCCTCTATGCGCACGAATTGTGCTTTCTTCAGTTGGTGTTCTGAACAGGAAGTGAAGCAAGGGCCGGGCTTGCTAGTGTAACGAACGGAATGCTCCGTTCTGTTTGCAAGTGGTTGTACGTGCTCGGTTCAGAGTCTGGTTCTGTTGTTGCTGGGAACCTTTGGGGTAGATAATAGCTAATATAAAACTGTTGGATAAACAAGTGAACATCGTATTTTATTTAAAGCTGCTGTCTGGAGTTTTCCTCTTTCAGGAAATATGTATGATTTTTCAGAAGTACATAAAGTGAATGTCATCATGTACCGTGACATAATGTAGGAAATATGTGGTTTTTTGCTAAGCCCGCCCCCTGTCCCATAGAGCTCAATGCAATATGAACTGAGTGCCAGTCAGCACTAAGACTGTTAAACTACCGCTTACATACAGATGTTGATCACAGAGCGTGCTCGAGCATAGAAGAGCGCATTCACGAACTAGAAGCGTTGCTTTGGGCCTTAAATATGGAAATGAATGTAGGTCAAGATGTGATACGCTTGTCAGCCACTAGGTAAGCAAAACTCAATAGGCGGCCTGCAGGCCCCCTCTTTGTGGCCTCCGAACTGCGTGCGCCACCCTGGTGTAATGAACCGCCAACACCCACCCCGATCCGACAGACGAGCTGGAGGGCTAGAGACAGCGCAGGTGTGCAGTGCAGTTTCATTGTATTGCAGGCTTGTGTGTTGTGTGTAGAACCGCTAGCACCCTCTGACCATTACATTTGAGTAACCCTGCCATCAGATAAAAGGAAAAATCAGGACAGCGACATTAAAGGTTCTTCAGGATGACCAGCGAAACATTATTTTTACAGCAGTTGTATTTTATCTTCATATAGGTATTTTATGCTACTCTAAGCCATTTTCCTGAAAAGAGCCCCAGCACATGTTTATTATGTTTATGTTTATTATGTTTATGTTTATTTATTTAGCAGTCTCTTTTATCCAAAGCGACTTACAATTTATAACCTATAGGGCATGTTGTGATCTGTGGGGGAAACCGGAGTACCCGGAGGAAACCCACGCATGCATGGAGAGAACACGCAACTCCACGCAGAAAGGCCGCAGCCGAGCAGAGTTTCGAACCTGCAACCTTCGTGCTGCGAGGCAACCGTGTTAACGACTGCGCCACCATGCAGCCCATAAGCCTTATCATGAAGATTAGCCTCAGCGATGCTGACAATGGTAAAAAAAAACTTCTCTGATAATCTTTTTCACAAAACAATAAGAATCTTACCCGAAGAAAAAATTCACCCCCCTCATTTCCTGCTTTAATCCTGAAGGAGTTGTGTGTGTTGGCATACACAGTGGTGGCCTGGATCTGGAATATGTCTGCTGGTACGGACCGGTCCGCCTGGATGCTCATGTATTTGTAGACTATTGACGGTGGGAGACCCTGGCATTCAGATTGGGACTGACAGAAGCAGCGGCTGCAGAAACACACCAATCAGGACAAACTCTGCAACACTGGTCATGGAGATTGAAATTAAAGGACTGACAGTTAATTACCGACCTTTCAGAGGTCTGAGTGTAAGGTGGCTCGCAGGGGTTCCTGGGATAACAACGGAACCCTCCGTAATAGTTCCAACACATGTCATCATCTTGGCAGTCATGGGTCCCCATCTCACACTCGTTTATATCTGGTGAGTTAAAAAGTGTCAGAAATATAATTAAAATGTTCAGAAAAGAGAAACAAACAATCACAATGAGACGCTTTAGATGCTTCTATAAATAGAAACAGGTTAGTGGAAGTGCAAGAAACACATGAGGGAAGCTTGCAAGTTTGAAGTCCAGGGAAGCCCCTCATTGGACCGACTCCAGCTTTTCCCCTACTGCACCATGAAAATGGCCCCATCAAATGTGCCTCAAAACCACAACGCTATTCCTGGCACAGCAGCTTGGATTCATCACCAGAAATGTCCCTCTGACCCAACAGAACGGGTTCTTCACACCCCATAAAGCCCACACCTGACTGAGAGGGTGTTCCTGGGAAGGAACAGCTCTCCCTTTGAGAGAGCGTTAAAGCTTCAAATAAATCCACTTCAAGAAACTAACACCATGCTCGTAAATTTAAAGAAGTCGCTGTGGTTGTGTTGCCTAACATCTGCATGTTCCCCCCCCCCCCCCCCCCCCCCCATGGTATTGTGTTGCTGAAGGCAGCATTAAATCCTGCTTGAGGATATCAGGAGTGAACTGTTGGTATTGATCTCTAAATGTTTTAGAGGAGTAGAAAGTAGATAAATAAACAAACTTAGAATGGAAAGATGAAAAATTATGTCTCAAAGCAAAGGTGAAGGACTGCAGTACCTTGACACAACCTGCCTCCTTGGAGCTGATATCCTTGCGGGCACTCACAGGAGTAACTCCCCGGAGTGTTAACGCACTGATACTGACACATGTAGCTGGATAAGCTGCATTCGTCGACATCTGTTCAAAACATGCATGAAAATCATTGTACATGTGGTACAGCAGAGATGTGGATATTGCATGATACACACGCACCATCACAGGAGATAGAGTCTGCTGCCAACTCGAAGCCGTTGTCACACTGACACAGGAAGGAGCCAATCAGGTTGTAGCATTGATACTGACAGGGGCTCCCCACATCACATTCATTCACATCTGGAGCAAAAGCAGATGTTTCACACACATTGACCCAATAATAACTATAAGTTCTTGTTCTAATGTGTAGAAATATGAGTTTAGTTTTCTAACAATGTGTCTAAGCCACGTTTGTTGTGTAACTGCATCTTTCAGCAGCATTTGGTGGTTTCAAAAAATCTTTTTGTATCACTTATGTGGTATTTTTGACATTTTTGTTCACGATTTTACTACAGGTGAAACTTCATATTAATGGTCAAAACAAACCTACATGATATTTTTTTTTACATAGACGCATCATGAAAAATGCAACGTTTTTGCATGTTTCAATGATCTCAACTTAAGTATATATGTAAAGTCCCAATAATCATCATCACACACTGGTGAAATGACATCTCCACATTTGACCCATCCCCGGAGGGAGGCATTGGGTCCCATTTTCAAGGTCTTTGGTATGACCCGATCAGGTTTTGAACCTCGATCTCCCAGTCCCAGGGCGGACACTCTACGACTAGACCACGAAGAAGGTTGTATAGAAAACACACGTGTTTCTGTGATTTGGGAGGTTTTATGCAAACTGAAACATTTAAACAGGATCACAGAGAATTGTTTCAGTTGTTTATTGTTTGGTAGCAGAGGCGCCCCCAAGGGGTGACTATGGATGGCCATATAAATCATTTTGGCTCGGGCATCTGGTCAGGATGCCTCCTGGACGCCTCCCTGGTGAGGTTTTCTGGGCACGTCCAACCGGGAGGAGACCTAAAGGTAGACCCAGGACACGGTGGAGGGACTATGTCTCTCACCTGGCCAGGGAACGCCTTGGGATTCCCCCGGAGGAGCTGGCCCAAGTGGCTGGGGAGAGAGAAGTCTGGGCCTCTCGACGTAGGCTACTGCCCCGCGACCCGACTCCGGATAAGCGGATGAAATTGGATGGATGGATGTGTGTGTGTGTGTGTATATATATATATATATATATATATATATATATATATATATATATATATATATATATATATCTACATACATATATACATACATATATACACTTGTGATCGTTGTGACATCACCTTCTGGAGTATTTTCATTCTGGTAATTGATGGTGTACGTTTATTTATGTTTTATGTTTTTATACTTTTTTTATGTACATTTTCTTTCGTTCAACCATGACATGCACACACAACACATATACAGCTTACATTCACATAATAGTAAGCTAATGCGAGTGCGCTCACACACACACAACATAACTTCTACTGCTATACTTCTGTGGGATGACAATATTGATTGTTTTACTAAAAAACCAGCAAATGAAATGTTTATCTCTCATCCAGATGTTTACATCTGCTCACACCACAAACAAAAAAGCAGAAAATGCTTATGATGCGGAACTGTGGTGGCAGTCTTGGGTCTTTCATATGGATCCAAACCGTTTATAATGCTGATTTTGATCGGTCCCCAACGTGTTTAACGTATCTCTGTATATTCTGCATCCTTTTTGGGATTTTAACGTGTAACACTTTCTTTCACCCAAATTTGCTTCTTCACTGCGAAGTACCATTTGTTTTCACGGTTTGTTTACACTCATAAGGCCGCCAACATGTCTGCGCACATCCCAGAATGCCATGCGTAATCACGTGTGATCACAAGCCTTATATATATATATATATATATGTTATAAGTTTTGCACCTCTACCAGTGGAATCCCAGGAAAATTGTCATGGCAAGGCCAGATGGGGCCAATGATAATTTTGTGGTGGCACCATCAACATATATACGGGTGGCACACCAAATTGGCCTCTGTGGTAACGCTGGGAGACTTTAGCCTGTAGCTGTGCATTTCATAGTTCCTTTTTCATTAAAACAAATAAATAAATGAATAATAGGCCTACGCACCACAAACATTCACCTCAAATTTGAGAAACAGAAACATTTCAGAAAAAAGACCACATTTCAGTTACTTCATTACTGTGTCTTTCATTGTTTGAGAAATGTGCTTGTTGCTGTCTCAAAAATATCCAAAAAATGTTAGGATTTATATTTTTTGAACCTGAGTGACATTCAATTTTAGATGGCCCTCCATAGCCACCCCTTGGGGGCGCCCCTGCTGCCAAGCAATGAAAAATCAAAATAATTCTCTGTGATTTTATTTTAATGTTTTGTTTGCACACAACCTCTCAAACCATGGAAATGCACGTGTTTCTATGACTTACCAACACAAGTGTGATTGTCGTGAGTCAGTTTGTAACCTGCGCTGCATTCACAGTAGTACGAGCCCAGGGTGTTCACACATCTGTGCATGCAGTAGTGACTCAGGGCACACTCGTCTCTATCTGCATAAGAAGGTTCATGGAAAGAAAAGCCACAAATGAAGGGGAAATAATGATTTTTTTGTTTTGTTTTTTGCAAAACAAAGCGAGAGCGGAGTGTGCTTTTGTATCCATGTCTCACCGATGCAGTGGTCTCCGTTCCTCTGGTAGCCGGGAGGACATTGGCACGTGAAGGAGCCTCGAGTGTTGTAGCAGGTCTGTTCAGGCCTACAATTGTGTCTGCCTGTTGCACATTCATCTATGTCTGCAATAAACACACACACACAAACACACACACGAAAAGTTGATACCTGCTGCATGCAATGAATAGGGAAACACATCAAAAGCAGAGCAATACATTTGAACTTTAGCCGCTCAGGGAGCTTTCACACACAGAAACATTCATGTTCACACGGGAAGCAGGTAGTTAAATGGAGAAAGTGTTCATTTAGCAGCTCAAGGGTGAAAAGAAAAACACAGATCCTCTTCTCAGTGGTGCCCCTAAGGGGTGGCCAGGGAGGGCTGTGGCCACCCCTGGGATGACCACCCCTCGAAACAATTCATGTTCACAAAAACCATACATTCATCTTCTTTAATCAAGACATACATGTTAAAGATAAATCATATCTTAATAATAATGTTTAGTACATAATTTATTTAATAAGTCACTGAGGGTCACCGTTTTCAAGAAAAGTATAAATCCCAATAGATTTTATGGGTGTTTTGGTGAAACAGCAACAGGTAAATTTTACAGTTTTAAAATAACTAAACAATCAAATTTGAAACTGTAACTGAAATAACTCTTTGACAATGTATCATTTTTATGAAATTTGAGTTAAACATGTTTGATGCATTTGGATTGTTAATGATGAAGAATGAAGGAGCAATGCATTGCACAGCTACAGGCTAAACTCTTCCAGAGTTACAGACCACTTGCCAGTGGGCCGTTGCCCAAAGTGGGATGGTCCGTTCCGGTCTACTACATCTGCAACCCCCGAATGCAAGGCGGCACGAAGAGTTGTCTGTGAGTCCCACAACCACCTCTACCCCACCCACGCCACCCTCACCCCCGCTATGAGGGCTGATGGGATGTAGAAATGCCATGGTTGAATTTTCATCCCAGTCCAGGCTCCCCATGAAAATTTTCTGGGGGTACCACTGATTCAGCTCACAAGGCAGATTCTTGTAGGAGAGAGTTTACAAAAGTTTGAAAAAACAAAAAGAATGACTTTGAAATGCTTTCTGCATCAAAGATCCAACTCTCAACTTAAAACTTTGTAATGCAAAACAAAAAGTAATGAAACAAACCTCTAGAAATACAGAAACGAATGATACTCTGTGTACAATAAGTGGTGGTGAAATGATGAGGTGATGGGTGGGCGTTATACATCCAACACGAGACGCTCCATGTATAATGTTGCTCCTACAAACACATTCTCAGCCTGGGTTTGTTCGCAGCCAGAGCTTCTTAAAACAGCGATCTCACCCTAACCCGCATGCATAAATACACCAGTGGTGTATACTGGCATCCCCGAGGCCCAGCAGCAGTCTTCCTGGGTGGTCTCATGCACCTCATCATAAACAGACAGCTACTGGGCATCAGTTTAACAGGATGACAGACGGTTATCCTCGATACCACACACACACAGCACTGGAGAATCACTGCATTGTTATTTGGTGTAACATCATTCACAAGAATCTGACAGAAATATAAATAAAATGATCATACAAATCTTGTCTTTTGCTCCCTGCATTGTTTAGATGTAACACATAAATAAATATTAACCTGAGGCAAGGACCTAAAAACTCCTCCAAATGAAATGAACTGGTACATCAAAGCATCACAGTTGGAGCATGTGTCCACTTTCTTGGTTTATTTTTATCATTAGCTAATCTATTAAAATTTTTTGCGTCAAGTTACAAGTTGAAAGTTTCACTTCTATATCCTGTGTTTCCTAACCCCCACCAGTGGGACTCTGTTTGCTATGCAGGTGTCGGGGATCAGCGGAGAGAAACGTCCTCAGTCCTTGAAGCAAATAAAAGGATGAAGTGCTTGACTCAATGGAGGCATGGATGGACTAAATCCATCGGGAACAAAAGCAGAGCTTATCTGAAGGTGCACCTCTGAGACAACAGGTGCAAATTGTACAAAAGGAGGAATGCACAGACAAAGCCTGTTGCTTGCTGACCCATTACATAAAAGGACAAAGATGAAAGCCGTTTTGTCAGGAAAGTCTGTGTTGTGATGTGGCTGAAAAGGAATCTGGGAATCCCGATCTGCATGAGGCATCGACAAAACAAAGGGCAGTATTTCAGCATGAACACATGATGGAACACCATGTTTATCATTGTATGTATGTAATTAAGTATGTATGTATGAATGTGTGTAAGTACGTATTTCTGTATGTATGTATTTAAGTATGTATGCATGTATGAATGTATGTACGTATGTTTGTATGTATTTAAGTATGTATGTATGAATGTATGTAAGTACGTATTTTTGTATGTATGTATTTAAGTATGTATGTGTGAATGTATGTAAGTACGTATTTTTGTATGTATGTATTTAAGTATGTATGTATGTATGAATGTATGTACGTATGCTTGTATGTATTTAAGTATGTATGTATGAATGTACCGGTATGTAAGTACGTATGCTTGTATGTATGCATTTAAGTGTGTATGTATGTATAAATGTATGTACGTATGTATGTATGTATTTAAGTATGTATGTATGTATGAATGTATGTACGTATGCTTGTATGTATTTAAGTATGTAGGTATGAATGTATGTAAGTACGTATGCTTGTATGTATGCATTTAAGTGTGTATGTATGTATAAATGTATGTACGTATGTATGTATTTAAGTATGTATGTATGTATGTATGTATGAATGTATACAAGTACGTATTTTTGTATGTATGTATTTAAGTATGTATGTATAAATGTATGTACATGTGTTTGTATGTATGTATTTAAGCATGTATGTATGTATGAATGTATGTACATATGTTTGTATGTATTTAAGTATGCATGTATGAATGTATGTAAGTACGTATGCTTGTATGTATGCATTTAAGTGCGTATGTATGTATAAATGTATGTACGTATGTATGTATGTATTTAAGTATGTATGTATGTACGTACGTATGAATGTATATACATATGCATGTATGTATTTAAGTATGTATGTATGTATGAATGTATGTACGTATGCATGTATGTATTTAAGTATGTATGTATGAATGTATGTACGTATGTTTGTACGTATTTAAGTATGTAGGTATGAATTTATGTAAGTATGTATGTTTGTATGTATGTATTTAAGCATGTATGTATGTATAAATGTATGTACGTATGTTTGTACGTATTTAAGTATGTATGTATGTATGTATGCATGTATGTACGTATGTACGTATGTATGTATGTATGTACGTATGTATGTATGTATGTATGTATGTATGTATGTATGTATGTACGTATGTATGTATGTATGTATGTATGTATGTATGCATGTATGTACGTATGTATGTATGTATGTGTGTATGTATGTATGTATGTATGTATGTATGTTTGTATGTCTGTATGTATGTTTGTACATATGTTTGTATGTATGTACTTAAGTACTTACTTATGTATGTGTGTATGTATATATATGTATATATTTATCCATGTACGTATGTATATATATATATATACATATATATATGTATGTATGTATATATATATTTATTATTGTACGTATGTATGTATGTATATATATATATATATTTATTTATTGAGGTACATATGTATGTATATATATTTATCCATGTATGTATGCATATATATATATATATATATATATATATATATATATATATATATATATATATATATATATATATATATATATATATATATATATATATGTGTACGTATGTATATGTATATTTTTTTAATTTAAGTATGTATGTATGTATGTATGTATATATACATTTATTATTGTACGTATGTAGGTATGTATATACATATTTATCTATGTACATATGTATGTATATATATATATTTATCTATATACGTATACACATACAGCTGAATGCTGAATACATTTATAACTAAATTAGGCTGCACAAAGACGGTCAATAATAGAGTGGAGTGATTTTCCTGTCACACAAATACTGTAAATGAAACCCTGTGATTATGGAACATAAAGATAATATTTGAATAATTTTCCTCTGCCTGGACAAGAGGCAGCAGACAGAACCAGACCCATGTGACTCAAAAACAAGACTTACTGGAGGAATGTGGTGTTTCATTTAGACTGGAAACGCTTCGCCCTCTGGCTTCATAGTTAATTCAGGTAAACAAAAGTCTGATTACCGATGAAATACAGTCCTGAATTAATGCAGTAATGTCAGTCTTTAAGCTTCAAGCTATATTTGGAGGAGGAGGGAGGGGAACTAAAAGAGATTTGTCTTTTGTGTATAGGCAGCGTGATTAGCGTAGCGTTCAACCTTGCACTACATAGGACTGTTTTAGCTCTTTGATGGCTGCGCGTTCCCTGCATGTGAGCAGTATAAAGCGTGGCAGGGGTGGGGGTGTGGTTGCCAGATCTGCTCAGGGGCCTGTGCCTACCAATGACATCACACTACGGCAGGTCTATTCAATTCCGGGCCTCGAGGTCTCGAGGTATCCAGCATGTTTTAGTGGTTTCTCTGGTCCAACACACTAGATTCAGTGTTTGAATGACCTGTGCAGCAGCTCATCAGGCTCTGCAGAAGCCTGTTAATCACCTAATGATTGTAATCAGGTGTGTCGATGCAGGGTTAAAACCTGCCCTCGTGACTCAGAATTGATTCTACGGCAAAGCTACTCAGACAAAATACCGTGCACATCTTTTTTGACACTATTCTTCTGTATCTTTTGTTAGTTCTTATGTTGTAATTTTTATTTCTTACATCCAATTTTATTTGTGTGTTTTTATCTGCTGTTTTATGTTGTCGTGTTGATTTTTGTGTTTTATGTTCTTGCTGATCTTGCACCTGGAAAACACATTGAATTGCTTCAAAATCTTCGATATCAACTTGCTAACCTAACTTTTACGAATGTAGTAACGTAACTTCCATGAGTCGTGTGTCCAGCCAGTGGTCTAGTGTGATGTCATCGACAGGCGTAGGCTCTCCGAGCCCATCCAGTATTTACACTAGCTGTTTCTCTTTCTCTGACATTACGGAGCTATGAACCTCTCATTCTCATTCAAATTTCTAAATCTCTTCCTGTCC